TTTTCCCACTTTTCCCCACCCTTTTCCCACAGTTTTTTCTTCAGTTTTCCCCTCCCTTTTCCTCACATTTTCCCTCCATTTTTCCCTCCATTTTCCCCACATTCTCCCTCAGTTTCCCCCACTCTTTTTCCTCAGTTTTTCCCTCAATTTTTTCCTCCCTTTTCCCCACATTTTCCCCTCTGCTTTTCCCTCCTTTTTTCCCATTTTCCCCCTCACTTTTTCCTTGTTTTTCCCTCCCTTTTCCCAACATTTTCCCTCATTTTTTCCTTCCCTTTTCCCTCATTTTTCCTTCCTTTTCCCCCAGTTTTTCCCCCTTTTCCCTTCCATTTTCCCCACAATTTCCCTCCTTTTTTCCCACAATTTTCCCTGCATTTCCCCTCATTTTTCCCCTCCTTTTTCCCCTCCTTTTTCCCCTCACTTTTTCCTTCTTTTTCCCTCCCTTTTCCCCACACTTTCCCTCATTTTCCCCTCCCTTTCCCCCATTTTCCCCCTGTGTTTCCCCCACACTTCCCCTCATTTTTTCCCCACCATTTTTCCCACGTTTCCTCTCAATTTCTCCCCACTTCCCAACATCCCAAAATTCCCATTTTTCCCCAGGAATCTCCACACTGCTGCTGCTGCCCACGGGCTCGGGCAAATCCCTCTGCTACCAACTCCCCGCCTTCCTCTACCACCGCCGCTCCCCCTGCATCACCCTCGTCATCTCCCCCCTCGTCTGCCTCATGGACGACCAGGTATCCCCTCCATTCCCGCTTTTTTTTTGGGATATTTCCCTCAAAAACCACAAAAAAACCTGAAATATTCCCATTCTCAGGTTTCCAACCTCCCCTCACCCCTCAAAGCCGTCTGCATCCACTCCAACCTCACCCAATCCCAGCGTGAGGCAGCCATTCAAAAAGTGAGTAAAACCCTTCCGATTTCCTCTTTTTCCCTTAAAAAAACCCCCAAAATAATCCTGATTTTTCAACAGGTCAAGAGCGGCCGAGCCCAAATCCTGCTGCTTTCCCCGGAATCCATCACGGGATCGGGATTTTTTTCCCGTTTTTCCCGGGATTTTCCTCCCGTGGCTTTCGCCTGCCTGGATGAAGCTCATTGCATCTCCCAGTGGTCCCACAATTTTCGTCCGGCTTACCTCAGGGTCTGCAAGGTGGGAAAATCATTGAAAACATGGGAAAAATCCCCAAAAAATCCTCCAAGATCCCTAAAAATCTTCAGGGTCTGCAAGGTGGGGAAATCATCCAAAAAATGGGAAAAATCCTAAAAAAATCCTCCAAAATCCCTCAAATTATTCAGGGTCTGCAAGGTGGGAAAACCCCTAAAAAACCTGGGAAAAATAAAAAAAAAAAAAAAATCCTCCAAAATCCCTAAAAATCTTCAAGGTCTGCAAGGTGGGAAAATCTGGGAAAAATCCCCCCAAAAAATCCAGATTTTATTCCTGGAATTCCGGGTTCTCCGGGAGCCTTTTCCTCATCTTTTCCTTGTTTTCTCCTCACTTTTTCCCACCTTTTCCCCATAGTTTTTACCTCAGTCTTTCCTTGTTTTTCCCTCCCTTTTCCCAACATTTTCCATCATTTTTTCCTGCCTTTTTCCCATTTTTTCCCTTTCTTTTCCTCACCCTTTTCCCCACAGTTTTCCCCATTTCCCTCAGTTTTTCTTTGTTTTTCCCACCTTTTCCCCTGTTTTTACCTCAGTTTTTCCTTGTTTTCCCTCCCTTTTCCTCACATTTCCCCTCAATTTTTCCCATAATTTCCCCACCTTTTCCCCTCAGTTTTTCCTTGTTTTTCCTTGTTTTTCCCCACACTTTTTCCCCACATTTTCCTCGTTTTCCCCACCCTTTTCCCCTCAGTTTTTTCTCACTTTTTCCTTGGTTTTCCTCCCTTTCCCCCACATTTTCCCTTCACTTTTTCCCTCCTTTTTTTCCCACCGCTTTTCCCTCTATTTTTCCTTGTTCTTCCCTCTCTTTTCCCCACATTTTCCCTCCTTTTCCCCCTCAGTTTTTCCCACACATTTCCGCACCTTTTTCCCCCTCAATTTTTCCTTTTTTCCCCATCATTTTCCCACTTTTCCCCTCCTTCTTCCTGCCCACTTTCCCAATTTTCCTCTTTTCTCCACACTTTTTCCCACTGTTTTTCCTTCAGTTTTTCCATCTTTTTTTCCTTATTTTTCCCTCAGTTTTTCCCACACTTTTCCCAACCTTTTTCCCCTCAGTTTTTCCTTTTTTTCCCATAATTTTCCCTCAGTGTTTCCCTCCTTTTTTCCCACCCTTTTCCCCAAAGTTTTTCCTTGTTTTTCCCTCCCTTTCCCCCACATTTTCCATCATTTTTTCCTTCCCTTTTCCATCATTTTTTCCTTCCTTTTTCCCTCATTTTTTCCTCCCCTTTTCCCCAGCTTTTCCCCCTTTTCCCTTCCATTTTCCCGACATTTTCCCTCCCTTTTACCCGCACTTTTCCCTGCATTTTCCCGCAATTTTCCCCTCCTTTTTCCCCTCACTTTTTCTTTGTTTTTCCCTCTCTTTTCCCCACATTTTCCCTCATTTTTTCCTGCCTTTTTTCCCATTTTTCCCCTCTCTTTCCCTCCATTTTCCCACCTTTTTTCTCTCGGTTTTTCCCTTATTTTTATCTTGTTTTTCCCTCCCTTTTCCCCACATTTTCCCTCCTTTTTTACTGCCCTTTTTCCCATTTTCCCCCTCACTTTTCCTCACATTTTCCCCACCTTTTTTCTCAGTTTTTTCCTCATTTTTTCCTTGTTTTTCCCTCCATTTTCCCTACATTTTTCCCTCCATTTTCCCCACATTTTCCCTCATTTTTTCCTTGTTTTTCCCCCTTTTTCCCTCACTTTCCCCCCACCTTTTCCCTGACTTTTTCCCCATTTTTTTCCCTCTTTTTCCCCTTCTCTTTTCCCTCATTTTTCCCCTTTTATTTCCCCACATTTTTTCCTCCAAAACCCCCAAAAATTCTGATTTTTTTCCCCAAAATCCCAGGTTCTCCGGGAGCGTTTGGGCATCCGCTGCTTTTTGGCTCTCACGGCCACGGCCACGGTGGCCACGGCGCGGGACGTGGCCGAAAATTTGGGAATTCCCGAGGGAACTCCCAGCGTCGGAGGCTTCGGAATTCCCGAAAATCTGCGGTTCTCCGTGACTGTGGAGGAAGACCTGGATCAGGTAGGGTGAAAATCCCTGCTTTTAGGAAAAAACAATATTTTTTTTTTAAATTAATTCTGCATTTTCTGAAGAAAAATCCAAATTTTTACAGAAAAAAAATCCATTTTTTGGGAGAAATTCCACATTTTCTGAGGGAAAATTGGCATTTTTTGGGATTAATCCCACGTTTTATGGAAATTTTTAGGAAAAAAAGCATTTTTAAAAATTAATTTCATATTTTCTGAGGAAAAATCCAAATTTTTAGGGAAAAAAATTATTTATTCTGTATTTTCTAAGGGAAAATCCAAATTTGTAGGGAAAAATGTGCATTTTTTGGGATTGATCCCACATTTTCTGAGGGAAAATTCGAATTTTTAGGGAAAAAATTTAAATTTTTTGGGACAAAATCCATATTTTCTGAGGGAAAATCCCCATTTTTACAGCCTCAATTTAAATATTTTGAGATTAATTCCATATTTGCAGTGGGAAAGTCCAAATTTTTAGGGAAAAAAGTTCATTTTTTTGGGATAAATTTAATATTTTCTGAGTGAAAATCCCCTTTTCAAGGAAAAAAAAATATTTTTTAGGATAAATTCTGTATTTTTGAGGGAAAATCCCCATATTTAGGAAAAAAAAAATTATTAATCCCATATATTCTTAGGGAAAATCCCCATTTTTAGGGAACAATTTCCTGGTTTTGAGATAAATTCCATATTTTATGAGGGAAAATCCAAATTTTTAGGGAAAAAAGTTCATTTTTTGGGGATTAATCCCATATTTTCAGAGGGAAAATCCCCATTTTTAAGGAGAATTTTTCCTTCGTATTCCCCAAATTTCCCCTCAAAATTCCCAGTTTTTTTCCCAATTATCCCTCAAAATCTTCCCAGTTTTCCCTCAAAATTCCCAATTTTCCCCAGTTTTCTTTCCTGATTTTCCCCCCAAAATTCCCAATTTTTTCCCCAATATTTTCCTGATTTTCCCCGAATTTCCCCCCAAAATTCCCAATTTTTTCTCCAAAACTCCCAATTTTCCCACAATTTCCCCCCAAATTCTTCCCCAATTTCCCCCCCAAAATTCCAAAGTTTTTTCCCCCAAAATTTCCAATTTTATCCTGATTTTCTTCCCAAAATTCCCAATTTTTTCCCCCAAATTTTCCCCCAAAACTCCCAATTTTCCCATATTTCTCCCTCAGGCGGTGCTGTGGATTCTGCGCCAGTGGAATCCAGAGAATTTTGGGAATTCCATCATCGTTTATCCCTAAATTTTCCCCCAAAATTCCCCAATTTTCCCCCAAATTCATCCCAATTTTGCCCCCAAAATTCCCAATTTTTTTCCCCAGTTTCCCTCCCAAAATTCCCAGTTTTTTCCTGATTTTCCCCAAATTTTCCCCCAAAATTCCCTATCTTTCCCCAAATTCTTGCCCAATTTTCCCCTCCGAAATTCCCTATTTTTCCCCCCAAAATTTCCAATTTTATCCTGATTTTCTCCCCAAAATTCCCAATTTTTCCCCCAAATTTCCCAAGTTTTCCTTCTCAAAATTCCAATTTTTTTCTCTCATTTTTTCCCCTAATTTTTTCCCGAATTTCTCCCCCAGGCGGTGCTGAGGATTCTGCGCCAGTGGAATTCGGAGAATTTTGGGAATTCGGGGAATTTTGGGAATTCCGTCATCGTTTATTGCAAGCGGCGCCAGGAGAGCGAGCGGCTGGCGGAGCTGATCCAGAGGGAATTCTCGGACATGCCCCAAAATCCCGGGAATAAAACGGGAAAAGGTGGGAAAAAAAATCTGGAATTTTAGGGGAAAAAATTGGGGATTTTTGGCATGAAAAATTTTGGAATTTTGGGGGAAAAAATTGGGAACTTGGGGGGGAAAATTTTGAATTTTGGGGAAAATTTGGGGGGAGAATTAGGGGGAAAATTTGGGGAATTTTGGAGGGAAAATTTGGAATTTCAGGGGAAAAGTGGGGAAAATTGGGAATTTTGGGGGAAAAATTGGGAAGAATTTGGGGGGAAATTGAGAATTTTTAGGGGAAAATTTGGGGAATGTTAAGGAAAGAATTGGGAATTTTGGGGGGAAATTGGGGGGAAAATTGGGAAGAATTTAGAGGGAAAATTGGGAATTTTGGGTGGAAAATTGACGAATTTTGAGGCAAATCCATCAAAGTTTTGAGAATTTTGGGGGAAATTTGGGGTACTTCAGAAAAATCTGGAAATCCACAAAAATTTTGGGAATTGTTTTGGTTCCTCAGGGAAAGTTGGGGAATTCCAGGGGGGATTTGGGGAATTTTGGGGAAAATTTGGGGGGAAAATTTGGGAATTCTTTGGGGGAATTTTGGGGGGAAATTGGGGGAAAATTGTGAATTTTTGGGGGAAAAATTGAGGAATTTGGGGGGGAAAATTGGGGAAAAATTCTGAACTTTGGGGGAAAATTGAGGAATTTTGGGGGGAAAATGAGGGAACTTGTAGGGGAAAAATTGAGGAATTTTGTGGGGAAATTTGAGGAATTGGGGGGAAAATTTGAGGAATTTGGGGGAAAATCGGGGAAAAACTTTGAATTTTGGGGAGAAATTTGGGGGGGAAAAATGAGGGAACCTGTGGGGGGAATATTGTGACTTTTGGTTGAAAAAATTGACGAATTTTGGGGTAAAAATGACGGAACTTGTGGGGGAAAATTGGGGAAAAATTGTGAATTTTGGGTGAAGAAATTGAGGAATTTGGGGGAAAAATGAGGGAACTTGTGGGGAAAAATTGAGGAATTTTCGGGGGAAAACTGAGGGAACTTGTGGGGGAAAATCAGGAAAAAATTGAGGAATTTTGGAGGGAAATTTGAGGAATTTGGTGGAAAATCGGGGGGAAATTGTGACTTTCGGGGAAGAAATTGAGGAATTTTGGGGGGGAAAATGACGGAGCTTGTGGGGGAAAATCAGGAAAAAATTGAGGAATTTTGGGGGGAAATTTGAGGAATTTGGTGGAAAATCGGGGGGAAATTGTGACTTTTGGGGAAAAAAATTGAGGAATTTTGGGGGG